CACTCATCACTCGTTGTATCCGCCATGCTACGTTCATGGCTGCTGCCTTGCAGCCCCACCCAATTACTACGGGAATCCATCGGTGATAGTCGGCCGCCACGCACATTCTGGCGGGAGGTGCCAGGATGAATTGTGCCAATCGTTCAATGTACCTGGCCATGGTCAAGGACAAGGTGATGACACGTGCATACTCCTTCTCTAATACGGAACTAACTCCCACCCAAGTTGTGTACAGAGCTCCCGCAGCCTGGTTCACCTTTTGTGGATCCACCGTAGCCATCACAACAGCAGTGTTGCGTCGGAAGGAATTTGCTGCCCTATCATCATCAAACCCATACTTGGATGTTTGCACCTCCTCCAGAGCATGAATCACATTGATGGCTTCATCTGTCAAGTCCTGGATAGCCTCTACCATCACGTCCCAACCAAACTGCTGGGCAGCTGCCAAGGAACTGAACAATGTTGGGTAGTCTAGAAATTTTGGATTGCCAACAAAGTGGGTATAAGTAGTGAGCTCTTTTTCATCACAAAAGGACAACCAAGGGCGTCTGTTTCCACTTACATCCGCCTGCAAAGCAGTAGACAAGTCCAACCTAAGCGGAAAATAGAAAATAAGATGAGGATCCTTTGATTCGTGAAACAAAGCATCAGTGCTTCCATTCGGTGAATACGAACATAGGCTAGACTTACCTGCGCCATAATGGCGTCCTTGGGAAGAGCTTGGTAGAATCCCACTATCATCTTGGTCAATGCCACAATGGGAGGTAGCACTACCCTTCCACATTGTACCAATATGTCAGCGGCGATTCCAACTACCTTGACAAAGGTATCCGAATCTTCACCACCGCGGGGAGGAAATCTTTCGATGACATTGTCAACTCCAGAATAGCCAGGCATTTCCTTGGCAGCAATCTTGTCAATGTATGCCTGTGATCGGAGACTCAGTGGCCTCGCACCGGGATAGGCCCCGCCTTGGGATCGACGGCCGAATGATGCCTCGTTGGATCGCCAGAATCCATTGTGACGAGGACGAAAAAATGGAGTTCCGCTGGATCCTGCCACCAATTGGCCATGGATGGTCAAGATCAAGACGCATGCCAGCGTCGTAGCGTAGACACAAGTAGGCATCATCTCGTTGCGCTACCAACAGGTCTGTTTGGACAGAGCTTCCTGCCCTGATGTTGTTGTAATGGAGGATGGAGGACTGACAGCTGTCATGTTGGACATGTAGGATCTTTGGATCTTTTATTCGGGAATGAAGGCAGCCCCGTGATGTGCGATACGGCGGAATTCGAATGATGAATCGAATCAAATCGAATAGATTCGATTTATTCGATTCGATTCTTGTTTCAATCTACAGGGTCAATCGATAGTCCGTCCCAGTACATGTACCGGTACCGGTATGCTTGGTTGGTAATTACTGTTTACTGATTACTGACTGGAGGGGCCAAACAGTAGCAGTAATGGCAGTAATGCAGTAATTACTCAGTAGCAGTAATCAGGTACAGTAATCTATCTATAGCCAATGACAGTAAAAGTAAAGGAATTACTGTTTACACAGGAATTACTGCAGTAATTTCAGGTACCAGCCTGAACCAGGGCCATGGAGGCCACCACAAACAAGTATTAGGGCAACATGAGTTGCAATCCAGCTGCCCAAATCCAGCCACCTAGCCCTTCTTGGCCCTCTTGGAGGGTGGATTCTGCTTCTCAGCAGTGGTTTTGGGCTTGAATCCACCAGGGATCCACATATCCCAATCTCCATTGGCATCAAGACAGCCAGGGCCTTCAAGGACAACATCGATTCTGGGATCAGGGAACTTCTTGTAGTAGTGATACACGAGGCCATGGAAATGGTTGTCAAGCTCAAACCACTCCTCGGCACCACGGTGACTCCTCTGGAGATCAACATCCCACGCCTTGACATTCCAGCGACTGTTGCCACTCTGTCGTAGCCAAGCCATGTCATCGTTGTCTGTAACATATTTCTTACCAGACCAGATGTCGCCGAAAGGAAGGCTTCCGTACTTGGCCATGAACTTTGTTTCCGCCGGGACGGTCATTTGATCCATGAGTTTAAGTTCCCACTCCTCTGTGTAGGCACGGTAAACTCGGGCCTTGACCTTTTTCGGCCCTCTCACCTCGTGTCCATACGTCGTCAAACCAACCAGATCCAAGTCCTTTTCCTGCATGAAACGGTATTCCATTCCTTTCTTGACCGAACGACGGACTCTGGCTCTTTCCGCGCACGCCGCACCAAACAATGTGCCCATCCTCTTGACAGTAGCACCATCGCCATAAATAGTATTCCCGAAGATTTCACTGTCCTTGAGGAGCGTACGCATTGCCTTCGAATAGTGCTTGGCGTACAGGATTTTGAGGTTTGCGTTGGCACAAGTCCTGGCGGTCGGTGGCTTGTAGTTGTTGGGAACAGTTTTGGCCAGCTGCAGCACAAGATGAAGGTTTGGATCGTCGAGTAGCTTCATAGGATAGCCACCTTCCGCAATCAAACAACACAACTGGGTATCCAACTTCAAGGCGTTGCGTTGGTCAGGCGGATTACCAGTCAAATACAACTGGATACCGCTACCCTTTGTGTGCTGTACAAGCTCCTGATTACCACCAGCAATCTCCTTGCGCGCGGCTCTGGCCCGATGGCCGGTGCTTTGGTCCAACATAGCCTCCACGGTATCTTCCAGCTTGGCTTCAGCATTCGCGACAATCAGGTTGGTAACCTTCTTCTTTGTTTGGCGCTTTTCCTTCAGCTCGTCCCAAGCCATCTTGTACACGAGCTTCTGTTCGGCAGCGTGAACTGCGGGGCAACACTTGATGTCGTGACCAGCCCTCTTGGCCAAGTGGGCCTTGACCTTGGTGACGTTCCACCCGGAGAACAACTGATTGCAATGCAAACACTTCCAAACGCGCTTGGTGCCACCCCCGCTCTTGTTTACCTCCTGCTTCTGGATGAAATCATCAGTCCAGATATCGTAGCCACCGCGGGAAGAAGGATCCTGACTAGACGACCTGCTTCCTGAGCTGCTGCTGGTGGTGGTAGTGGTATCGCTGTTCCTGGTGCGAGAAGTGGCAGTGGGTAAGGAGCGACCACGATTGCCATGACGGGGCGGCAAGGAAACTCGCTTGGCATTTGGATTCGCATCAGGATCTTCCGAGAACACCTCAAACTGATGCACTACCTTTGCACCGCCACTGGAAGTCCTGCTGCTGTTGCGACTACTGGATCTGCCACGAGCAGATGCCTTGACAGGAACTTCATCGTCTTCCTCGTCCGAAGAAGAAAGATCCTTCCTGCGAGCAGCGACCTTGAGAGCAACAGTGACAGGAGTCTTCTTGCGAGCAGCTTTCTTGCGAGGAATTGCATCGTCCTCCTCTTCCGAAGAAGAATGATCGTCGTCCTGAAGTGGAAACGGGGGCGGTTCCTCGTCATCTTGATCCTCTGCTCCTGCACGGAAAGGAGAACTCCTGGAAAGGCCTGCCATGGTGAAAAGAGTATCTGTCGGCGAAAATGGAGATGTGCCGTTCGTTGTTGCTGTGGTGGATTGTGACAGTGGGCTCAAAAATCCAGCGATTGGACCAAAACGAATGAAGGGAGCGCTCATTCAATTTTGTGAGAGAGGAAGAGGGCTGAGAGTTGCGAAACTGGGGCTTTCGTCGTGTGTGTGGGCTTGCGTTGGCTTTGGTTGGAGCGATATCGAAATGCCGTTCGCATTGAAATGCCGTTCGTTGGCTGGATCGAAATGACGAAATCCACCAATACCAAGCCAACCAAAGCTTATGATGTATCAAACTGACCGGCAAGGAGCGCCGGAGATGCCAGTTACCATGGTCGTGTCATCCAATGAAGCAGCCAGTAAAGAAAAGCCAAGGATTACCATCTTGATAGGAGGAGAGGTTGTGGATCGATCGTTCGAACGGATTGAAAGCCAATGTATGTGGGCTCCGAGCGAGGCCTCTTTGGTTGAGCGATACTCAAGCGACCATGCTGCTATGGTACGTCAGACAATTCTTTTGCCAGGTTGCAGCGAAAGGCATCTGGCACGAGAATTGCACGAAAAGCCTCAGCGATATGGAACAGGCTAGCGATCCAACGGTACCGGAATTCCGGAGTAATCCTCCGTAATCCTAGGAATTCCTGCCGGAATCGTGCATGACCTTAATTCCGGTGACGTTTTACGGTTACCGTAACTGTTGTTCTATAGAATTCCGGAATCGTAGCGTAAGTAGCCAGTAATCCGGAATTCCGGCAGTAATTACCAACCAAGCCGGTATGCACAGTACCGGTGAAGGGTAGAAATAACCTGGACCTGGTACAAACCAGCTGCATTTCTCCAATAAATCTTGGCTTTACCTTGTTGCCTTATTGAATCCTACTGAGTACTCCAGCATTTGAGTAAGCAAAAGCACCTGTATTGGACATTTTACATCGTTTTTATTCCACTGACAGGTCTTTTCTTCTTTCTTGAAAGGTCTTGACGATTCCGAAAAAGAGTTAAAGGGGAGGCTGTTTAAGAAAGGTAGTTGAGGCAATTAAATTTTGGGAAAATCAATATACTCAGGTATACCGTACTTTACGGTATATTTACTGTTTTAAATTTGATACAAAATGGTTTTTCCACACCTACCTGAGAAGCTGAGTTAGTCCACTCATCAGGACACTAAGTCCTGACCACAAAGTACCAGTCATACCCGCCAGCAAACACCAGCCAGGACGCCAGGACTCCAGTACCGTACATGTACTATTAAATAGTACTCCTTACTTGAGATTCTGAATTGGAACTGCTAGCTAGCCACTGACTGTTGGTGGGCCAGTCACTTGGCCCTCGTGTGCACATTGCACATGCACAAGCAGTCATCACAAGCTCATGCACATTCCTTTCATTTGCGCATTCTGGCATCCACCCCAAGCAAGGCTTTTTCCACACACTTGAGTCCAGCGATAGAGCATAGACCCCACCCATTAGCAGTCATTAGAGCGGTTCACCATGGCGGATGGGACAGCAGAGGATGTTTTGAAGAATGTTGAGCGACAACAGCGTGATGAAGCCTCTTCCGCAGCAAGGCAGGAGATGGTTGACGATTCGGAGGTCGATCTCCTCCAGCTCGTAGCGTCTCGCATCCAGCAAGGTAAATCTAATGAGACAGACTCTGGTGTCCGAGCCGAAGATGAGAACAAAAAAAAGAAAGAGAACGCCAAACTTGGTGCAAACGAGCAGCGTACAGAGGAGAATCGTGTGGATCCAGAATTGGATATTCTCAAGGTTGTCGCTGCGCGTATACACGGCACAGAAGCTGCCGTTGGCGCTGTCGCCTCTGATGAAGACCAGGACAACAAGATCGAGTCACATGAAAGTGCAAGTGGGTGTGAGGGAGCAACCAATGTTGGAACTTCGTCAAAGACCCCCACAAACGGAACGTGTGCCGTTGGCATTGACGCAGATGACGATGCGGAAGGGGGCAACGTCAATATGGGCCCAGGGCACAATGAAGAGATGGTCCCTGCGACCCCTGCGCTCCGACACGGTGAACGTCTCCCAATATCTCGGCCAGGAGCTTTTTCATATTCGTCGTCTTCCTTACAATCTGAAGCGCATGAAGTCATCTCTGGACCTGGGAGCATGACCCCAGAAAATTATACCAGGAATGAGACGCCAGAGGAAGTTCCTGTCCTCTTTCAGTTGCCCTCCCAGTACCAGATGATCAACGCCCTGATTACTTGCCGCAGGCTGAAGAACTTGGAGACCATGTCGAGGCTGACGCCCAAGCCAGGGAATCCAGGATTGAAAGTCGTGCTTTTACCTCAGCATTAAAGTATTTTGGTGCTGGTTTGGTTTTCATTGTTGTTGTGGTGCTTTTGATTGTTTTGGTTCCTCGAAAAGTCAACAGTGGGAATGGTCCATATGAGGCTTCTACTTCGGTTGACATCTTGAGCTCAGAGTCTCCATCGGAATCGCCAACATCGTTTCAGGACTTCCTGGTAACATTGTTTCCAGATGAAACCATGAGTGCATTGGGAGATGCTGAGTCACCACAGTCCAAAGCACTCGGGTGGCTTCTCAACGATCCGAATGTAGCCAACTATCCTGACTGGCGAATTCAGCAAAGATTTGCACTCATGACTTTGTACTATGCCACATCGGGACCCACCAAATGGAGGAACAACACAAACTGGGCAAGCTATGAACATGAGTGTGAATGGTTCTCAACCCCATCCTTGGGCCCACCTAGCTTTCCTGTCGACAATGAGACTCTGGCAATACTGCTGTCTACCAGCCCTTGTGATCCTGACTATGTGTCATGGAAACTGAATTCGAGTAGACACGATGACATTTCATTGCTCCATCTGGGGCGCTACCAGCACCTCAGAATGGAGCCAAATGGGCTTGAGGGGACCATTCCCCAGGAGACATTCCTCCTTACTGCTCTCAGAGAAATTACGTTTGGCATCAACCAACTTTCTGGGACACTCTCGAGTGAAATCTCCAAGCTAACAGACCTGATTTTGTTCACCATGCCTATGAATAAGATTACTGGGACCATCCCAACAGAGGTTTTCTCACTAACAAGCTTGCGTGCCTTTTATGGCTTTCGCAACCAACTCACAGGCAGCATCCCTTCTGAAGTTGGTATCTCCAATTTGCAGGATCTTTTCCTTGATTCCAATCTATTGACAGGAACACTTCCAAGTGAGCTGGGGGCTGCCAACCCCTTAAACAATGTCTTCATGTTCAACAATGCTTTCTCAGGTTCCATCCCTTCTGAACTTTGGACACTTTCATCATTGGTCCGCTTGATGGTGGAATTCAATGCACTGACTGGAACATTGGCAACTGGTGAGTCTGCATGAAAGATGTGGTACATCTGTGTATGCATACATCACTAACGTAATTTTCTATGCAAGAAATTGGGCAAATGTCGAACTTGCAAATGCTGCGCTTGGACAATATGGAGCTGACAGGGACAATCCCAACAGAGCTGGGACGTCTGCAACAGATGGGATTTCTTCGCCTCGAGTTGAATCAACTGTCGGGAACCATTCCAACAGGTAGGAAACCATACAACTGTCTTTATAAAATTGGAGGCAGCTTGCTAACGTGCATTTCAGAATTGCACAATGACCCATCTTCAAGACTTTTTTGTAGATGCAAATCAGTTGAGTGGGTATGTTCCATCAGGTATGCTACAAGGGTTGGATCCGAGTACCAGAACATTTGTGAAAGACGTTCTCTATCTGACCATGGTTTCAATGCGCATGCCCACACAGAATTTGGGAGTTTCAGCCGCTTGAAGAGGTTGGGATTGGGAAGAAACATGTTTTCATCTACTGTACCGGTGGAGTTGGGCAAGCTATCAAGCCTAAAATGGCTGGGGCTTCATGTGAATGAATTGACTGGGGCCATTCCAACAGGTAAAAAGATTGATACTAGTAGCCGGGAAAGTCCTTGACCTGTTTCTAAACCACTTCGAATGATCCTTCCAACAGAAATTGGGTTACTTGGAAACTTGACCCGGCTGTGGCTTTATGGCAATGAGTTCACTGGGGGGTTACCAACCTCCCTTGATGGGCTGCTGCAACTTGAATCTTTTAACATCAGCCAAAACCAATACCTCTCTGGGATTGTACCAGAAGAGTTGTGCTTTGTTGAAGTGTTGGCATTTGACTGCAGCGCTTCTCTCTGTGGATGTGACTGTCCATGTGGGTCTGGCAATGCCGCGGGATCTGCTAGAAATGAGTCCTCTAGTGCATTAAACTCTACTTTGCAATGAAGCAATATAGTAGGGATCATCCAACCTATACACCAGATCTGCTAGCAGCACTTTAACAAAGGTAATATCCAACAAGATGCTAACTTCCATTCCTGCCTTTGGTTGCCAGTGCAAGCCAGACGTTCCTGAAGATTTCAAACTCTTGGGAGCAAGCAGGGGGCATCAGATTCTCAGGATAGCCTAGCTTGTAGCAATGCAACAATGCAACCCTCGCTCAAGGCTTATCTGTGGTGCCTGCAGACCTGGGATGGCACCACTGGGGAAGCCACCCAGCAGCTGGACCAATACAATGGTGGTCTATTGTTTGTCTGGCCCCAGCCCTTGAGGCAGCCCAAGAAGCATTCAAAGAAGATTGGTGGGTTGTACCAGAAGCTCTAGACCTGGCTCCTGGCCACGAGTCTAGTCAAGTCCCTTGCAGAGTCAGGAGGCCTCTAGCTAGCAGATTGCTTCTTGTTGCTTCAGAGATGACTGGTACGAAAGACTGGGATGGCCGTCCTTCGGAAACCCAGCACAGGTACTGTAGTGAGGACCGCGCAACAGGAGCGAGGTCATTGCAACGCAATTTTTGGCTGTTGTCGCAACCAGCTCTACTGGTGGATTGTGTTTTACAATCGTGTGTGGTGTTGCCAGCCACCGTGGATTGACAGCTATTGCTTTCTTTAAGATAGAAAGCTGCAAGCCTTTTCTCTAAGCCATGATGAGGGTCTCTTTTCTTTCGGATATCCGAACGACATGTGCACTCTAACAAGTGGATCTACGCATTCCAATAATAATTATTGTTCTCGAGCAACGTCAGTGTCAATCGGTTGTCTGGAAGATATCTATTTTCCGTGTTGGCGTGGAAAACTGTGTTTTGGTTTGCCACGTCTTCCTGGCATCACCTTGGTGTCATACGAAGAAAGCAGCCACTATCAAAATTTCAGTGGACCCACTTCAACCAACTTCCCCAAATCTCCACCAATCCGGGAGATGCTGACGAAGTCATCGCCCTGAGGAACAAACGGGAAGCTGGCAACAACAACAAAACTAAGAAACGAAGCAATCCGCAACCCTTGCCCGTGCTCTCCTCTTTCACTTGTACCAGTGGGGTTCTTGTAAGGTCCACATCATAGTATCGGGTTTTTGGCTGTCTAACCAGAGCAGCTTGTAGTAATATTGCAGCATCGTGTTTGTTGGAGGTAACAGAATAAGTTGCCTTTGGGAAGAGAGAAGAAGGTGTGTTGAATTCAATCGTTCATGTGATTCTTGTAGAGGGCCGCTGTCGCCAATGCCTTTGTGTGATTCCGTTGAGGGGTGGATGATAGACCTCATCAGGAACTTGAAGTTCGTCTCATAGTTTCTTGTTTTCCATCGCAGTAGAACCAAAAGATAATCAATCATCTGAAATAATATAATGTTGAGCCCATTAGCCATGCTCCGAAGAGCCCGAGAGGCCAGGGAAGCCCGTGACCGAGAATTGGCTTTGAATCCGGAGGACTCTACCAGTGGCAAGAAGTTCAAGCAGCTCTACAAGGTCGGAGACCAGGTGAGTAATGTATCGATTTCTGGGTTGGTGTATGCTATGATAACGAGATAGGCCCGAAGGTAATTTGGGTATATGCTGACCTCTATCCCCTCTGATCTTATGTTCTGGTAACAGCTTGGACGAGGTGCCTTCTCGGTGGTCAAAGAGGCTACCCATAAACAATCAGGCAAATCCTTTGCCATCAAGATCGTCAACAAATACCGCCTGTCAACGGAAGATGCAGATGCACTGCAGATTGAGATTGCCATTCTGAGGGATAGTCACCACAGTCACATTGTAGAGCTCCACGACGTCTTCAATGGCTCCGAGTATTACTATCTAGTCACGGAAAAGCTTACTGGAGGGTGCTTGTACAATCACATTGCCGCCAAGGGCCCTTACAGTGAAGAGGATGCCAAGGTGGCGCTCAAGAACATGTTTGGGGCACTGGTATATACCCACAAACAAAATATTGTGCACAGAGATCTCAAGCTCGAGAACCTCTTATTGTCGGTACGTTCGTGGTTACAACGACCACATCAACAGCTAGCCACTTCTTTCCCGATTATCCTCACCTTACCTTTTATGATCCCCGATCCATTTATTCAAATGCAGAAAAAAGATAGTCACACGGACATCAAATTGATCGGTAAGTACAGTCCATGATTTGGGGTGGTTCCGGTAGTGCTACTAGCTGGATGGCACCCCCTCTAACCTGACTGTCCCCCTTTGTCCCGCGCAGACTTTGGCTTTGCCAAGAAGGCCCCACCCGGTGGGCTCAAGACATTCATTGGAACACCGGGGTATGTCGCTCCCTGTATATTGGAAGGAACCGGATACGGAACACAAGCCGACAACTGGTCCATGGGTGTAATTGTCTATTGCATGTTGGGAGGATACCCACCCTTTCGTGATCCCAACCGTGACAAACTGTTTCGCAAGATCCGAAAGGGATCCTATGTGTACGACGAACGCAAGTGGAAGCATATCAGTCAGGATGCCAAAGATTTTATCAAACGGCTCTTGAACACCAAACCCAAGGAAAGATACACGGCCGAGCAAGCGCTGGAAGACCCGTGGATGCAGGGTAGCATTCCTTCGCTGGAAGAATCCGACGACGGCATGAGCGTGAGTTCGGGAGTTATCAGTGATAATTCGGGAGACGTTTCTTTACCAGCACGTGAATTGGTCCTAAAGGACGCCCATTACGACGCGTAACGCTGCTTGATTGATTCATGGCGTGATTTGACATGCCGTTGCCTTTTGCCTTGGAATAGGAGCAACGCGGGGGAGCTCCTTGTTGACCAACGAGGGGATAGTCGAACGAAGGATTACGTGCACTCCACCATCATCCTTTCTCAGCACAGCCTGCAGGCCAAGGGGCACCTTTTTCTCTTCCGCATTCCACTCTCGCATACCACCACAAAACGCTATCTCGAATGCTCCCATTCGTACAGCTTCGCCCAGCAACTGTAAACTACTAATGTTGTGAACTTCTTCACTGCCCATCGCATTCTGGGGCTTTCAACTTATGTAGTTTATGCACTTCTGGAGCACGTTCTGGCATTCCACTTCGTCCGCTACAGCAGTTCCTCAAGTGCCCGCATTGGCAGTAAAAGAGCACACAGATTCATCGCGTGGACATAGTTTCTAGCCCACTGACAGCAGCAGCAAATGGCAGCTACTACTGTCCCACGGGACACTCATTTTCTCTAGCCCATTTCGGCACCCCAGATGACTGTTTCTGGCTGCTTTCGTGCAAGTTTCTTTGATCCCAAAGAGAGCCATTTTGTCTTTCCCATTGCAGTCTAGCTAGTGTACCGGTATCCAAACGGGCATTTTTCCCGCAGCATCTTGCTTGACATGTCTAACATCCCTTCCGAAAAGTCAACAAAGCCATGAAAATTGTTGACGTTCAGTTTTTCTTTCTAGTTCTACCACAATGCCAGTCTGTCGGTCTAGTAGTGATTTTTGGACTTTTGAAACTTGCGGTGCATCTATACCGTATGTAGTTAGTTGTAGCTACGTTAGCTATAGGTAGCTGAATGAATATTGTGCGTAGCCAGTCAGTCAGGGTCGTTCGTTTGGCATGATCTGACTTGTCCTGTAGGTAGCTAGCTCGCTGGGAATGTTTGTATGTACAGCTGATCCCGAAAAAGAAAAGAGACTGAGAATGCTTCGCTTCTTTTGGTACCTCCTCGAGTACGTAGCTCGTAACTAGCTATCTAGACCTAAACATCTCCAGGTCCTTTCCAAAGTGACAGCGACTGTTGCTCTTGTTCGCTGAGCCGGGACACGGTCCAATGAGCAAAGAGCAATGCGACCAAATCGTAGAATGCATGTGTCACAATAGGGACTGCCAAATTGGACGACCAAATGTAGATTGCACCAAAATAGACACTCGCTAAAGTTGCCAGAATGGCATAGAGGGGTGTCACGGCATGCAAGAGCCCAAAAATGACCGAGGACAAGCCAATGGCAAGGACTTCCCCAAATCGTGCCGACAGTTCAAATTGCAAAACCCCTCGAAAGAGCATTTCTTCGCCGAGTCCAGCGACACATCCCAATGCCAATGATGTGACCAAGGCAATGACCGGTTTGAATTCACCTCCCAACAATGCCAGAACACTCCGTTGTGTGGCTTTGGTGACATCCTTGAGGGCTTGGAATCGTTCTTCGACCAAATCCAACAGAGCCGCCAGAATTCCCAGTGGCAGTGTCAGCAAGACACCGGTGCCTACGGCAGACCAACTGAGGTCGAATCCCGGTCCCAGCCCAAAGCGAGGTGTGCCCACCAAAGCTGCCACGGCAATGCTTCCCAGAATCAAGAGCGATTGGCCGCCCACGAGGGCAAAGGTAGTTCGTCCATCAAAAAAGACATCCGCCTTGTTGTTGTTGTCGGCGGCATCACTTTGTTGTTGTTGTTGTGTTGCAAGCGACTGTCTATTCTTGTTGTGGTTGTTGTTATGGCGCGATTTTTGGTCACACAGCAAACGACCCTGGCGATTGTTTTCAGCCGACCGGGCAATGGAGACCGTGGGCTGCACGAACGCTGTTGTTGTCGTCGAATGACATCCCAGCAACACTACTAGAGCGATGATCAAACGAAGTACCTGCATTCTTGCTTATTGTTGTTGGGTTCTGAGAAGTAGGTGGATATATATTATGGGCTGCTATTGGCATTTACGCCAGGAGAAAGGAAAGCAACACCTCCGTCATCGTGTCAGCGTCGGATTTAGATTGGAGCCCCTGGTATCCAAAGGACGGAACCCCAACACTACCGTACAGAATGCTGCACATTGGTTCGTATTCATATGCCCCCTGGGTCGTCTCCGTTTCCAGTACTAGTTTAACTTGTCTACTAATACAGGATAATGGTGAATAGAATCGAATGAATCATGTGGCTTATATTTAGGGTTTAGGTTTTGCACAATCACAAATCCTTTGCCATCAAGATCGTCAACAAATACCCCTGTCAACGGAAGCAGGATGCACTGCAGATTGAGATTGCCATTCAGGGATAGTCACCACAGTCACATTGTAGAGCTCCACGACGTCTTCAATGGCTCCGAGTATTACTATCTAGTCACGGAAAAGCTTACTGGAGGGGCTTGTACAATCACATTGCCGCAAGGGCCCTTACAGTGAAGAGGATGCCAAGGTGGCGCTCAAGAACATGTTTGGGGCACTGGTATATACCCACAAACAAAATATTGTGCACAAGGATCTCAAGCTCGAGAACCTCTTATTGTCGGTACGTTCGTGGTTACAACGACCACATCAACAGCTAGCCACTTCTTTCCCGATTATCCTCACCTTACCTTTTATGATCCCCGATCCATTTATTCAAATGCAGAAAAAAGATAGTCACACGGACATCAAATTGATCGGTAAGTACAGTCCATGATTTGGGGTGGTTCCGGTAGTGCTACTAGCTGGATGGCACCCCCTCTACCTGACTGTCCCCCTTTGCCCGCGCAGACTTTGGCTTTGCCAAGAAGGCCCCACCCGGTGGGCTCAAGACATTCATTGGAACACCGGGGTATGTCGCTCCCTGTATATTGGAAGGAACCGGATACGGAACACAAGCCGACAACTGGTCCATGGGTGTAATTGTCTATTGCATGTTGGGAGGATACCCACCCTTTCGTGATCCCAACCGTGACAAACTGTTTCGCAAGATCCGAAAGGGATCCTATGTGTACGACGAACGCAAGTGGAAGCATATCAGTCAGGATGCCAAAGATTTTATCAAACGGCTCTTGAACACCAAACCCAAGGAAAGATACACGGCCGAGCAAGCGCTGGAAGACCCTTGGATGCAGGGTAGCATTCCTTCGCTGGAAGAATCCGACGACGGCATGAGCGTGAGTTCGGGAGTTATCAGTGATAATTCGGGAGACGTTTCTTTACCAGCACGTGAATTGGTCCTAAAGGACGCCCATTACGACGCGTAACGCTGCTTGATTGATTCATGGCGTGATTTGACATGCTGTTGCCTTTTGTCTTGGAATAGGAGCAACGCGGGGGAGCTCCTTGTTGACCAACGAGGGGATAGTCGAACGAAGGATTACGTGCACTCCACCATCATCCTTTCTCAGCACAGCCTGCCGGCCCAGGGGCACCTTTTTCTCTTCGCATTCCACTCTCGCATACCCCCACAAAACGCTATCTCGAATGCTCCCATTCGTACAGCTTCGCCCAGCAACTGTAAACTACTAATGTTGTGAACTTCTTCACTGCCCATCGCATTCTGGGGCTTTCAACTTATGTAGTTTATGCACTTCCGGAGCACGTTCTGGCATTCCACTTCGTCCGCTACAGCAGTTCCTCAAGTGCCCGCATTGGCAGCAAAAGAGCACACAGATTCATCACGTGGACATAGTTTCTACACTGACAGCAGCAGCAAATGGCAGCTACTAGACTACTATCCCACGGCACACTCATTTTCTCTAGCCCATTTCGGCACCCCAGATGACTGTTTCTGGCTGCTTTCGTGCAAGTTTCTTTGATCCCAAAGAGAGCCATTTTGTCTTTCCCATTGCAGTCTAGCTAGTGTATCCAAACGGGCATTTTTCCCGCAGCATCTTGCTTGACATGTCTAACATCCCTTCCGAAAAGTCAACAAAGCAATGAAAATTGTTGACGTTCAGTTTTTCTTTCTAGCTAGTTCTACCACAATGCCAGTCTGTCGGTCTAGTGATTTTTGGACTTTTGAAACTTGCGGTGCATCTATATGTAGTTAGTTGTAGCTACGTTAGCTATAGGTTACTGAATGAATTATTGTTCGTAGCCAGTCAGTCAGGGTCGTTCGTTTGGCATGATCTGACTTGTCCTGTAGGTAGCTAGCTCGCTGGGAATGTTTGTATGTACAGCTGATCCCGAAAAAGAAAAGAGACTGAGAATTCATCGCTTCTTTTGGTACCTCCTCAAGTACGTAGCTCGTAACTAGCTATCTAGACCTAAACATCTCCAGGTCCTTTCCAAAGTGACAGCGACTGTTGCTCTTGTTCGCTGAGCCGGGACACGGTCCAATGAGCAAATAGCAATGCGACCAAATCGTAGAATGCATGTGTCACAATAGGGACTGCCAAATTGGACGACCAAATGTAGATTGCACCAAAGTAGACACTCGCTAAAGTTGCCAGAATGGCATAGAGGGTGTCACGGCATGCAAGAGCCCAAAAATGACCGAGGACAAGCCAATGGCAAGGACTTCCCCAAATCGTGCCGACAGTTCAAATTGCAAAACCCCTCGAAAGAGCATTTCTTCACCGAGTCCAGCGACACATCCCAATGCCAACGATGTGATCAAGGCAATGACTGGTTTGAATTCACCTCCCAACAATGCCAGAACACTCCGTTGTGTGGCTTTGGTGACATCCTTGAGGGCTTGGAATCGTTTTTCGACCAAATCCAACAGAGCCGCCAGAATTCCCAGTGGCAGTGTCAGCAAGACACCGGTGCCGACGGCAGACCAACTGAGGTCGAATCCCGGTCCCAGCCCAAAGCGAGGAGTGCCCACCAAGGCTGCCACGGCAATGCTTCCCAGAATCAAGAGCGATTGGCCGCCCACGAGGGCAAAGGTGGTTCGTCCATCAAAAAAGACATCCGCCTGTTGTTGTTGTGTTGTCGGCGGCATCACTTTGTTGTTTGTGTTGCAAGCGCTGTCTATCTTGTTGTGGTTGTTGTTATGGCGCGATTTTTGGTCACACAGCAAACGACCCTGGCGATTGTTTTCAGCCGACCGGGCAATGGAGACCGTGGGCTGCACGAACGCTGTTGTGTCGTCGAATGACATCCCAGCAACACTACTAGAGCGATGATCAAACGAAGTACCTGCATTCTTGCTTATTGTTGTTGGTTTGGAAGTTAGGGGTGATATATTATGGGCTGCTATGGCATTTACGCCAGGAGAAGGAAAGAAACGATCGTGTCAGCTGTCGGATTAGATTGGAGCCTGGATCCAAAGGACGGAACCCCAACACTACCGTACAGAATGCTGCACATTGGTTCGTATTCATATGCCCCCTGGTCGTCTCCGTTTCCAGTACTAGTTAACTTGTCTACTAATACAGGATAATGGTGAATAGATCGAATGATCATGTGGCTTAATTTAGGGTTAGGTTTTGCAATTTGAAGTCAACGTGTGTTAAGTGGAGGTTTGGCTCGCTTCCGCTGGGAGCTTGGTTGTCTTCTTTTTCCTCTGTTTCCCGCTTTCTTCGGACTGGGGTATTCTGGTAATAGGATCGTGAGAAGTTCGGCAGCTTTCTTCATACCTTGTGGAGTGTCATCATTCTGACTATTCGCAGGTGATCTTGGCCGACGTGGTTCGTGAACAGGTGGGACGGGAGAACGTATTTGGTTGCATTGAACTGTGGAATGGTTTGCGAATAAATTCGGGAGGTCCAGTATTAGATTTGAAAGTGAGGGCAGGGGGATTTATAAACGGGAAGAGGTACGCAGGAGATTACCGCATGAAACTAATTTGAGGCCTTCTTGGGAACTCTTCTCGAAAAGCACCAGCAGGTGAACGGTGGTAGTCTCCTACAGTAGCTTAACGTATAAATCCCCCGTGCACTCACTTTCAAATCCTCAAAACTGGACCTCCCAATATTATTCGCAGATCATTCCCAGTTCCAATGCTACCAAATACGTCATCTCCAGTTCCACCTGTTCCACGAGCCACGTCGGCCAAAGTGTCACCTGCGAATAGTCAGAATGATGACACTCCACATGGTATGAAGAAAGATGCCGAACTTGCTCACGATCCAATTACCGAATACCCCCGTTCCGACGAAGAGCGGGAAACAGAGGAAAAAGAAGACAACCAAGCTCCCAGCGGAAGCGAGCCAACCCTCCACTTAACACACGTTGACTTCAAAT